CTGATGGTCTGCTGGCTGCTGCTGAAAGAAACAGAAATCGTAGCGCTGAAGCTGACGGCGATTCTCAAACAGCCGACTGCTCACAGCCCGGTGTGACCTGGACACGTCTGACCCGAATTCTTCCCCGTCTGACCCTTCCACCTTTTCCACTTGTAAAAAGCTTTTAAAGGCAGGAAAATATGTGACACTCATCGTGGTGGATGTCCAGCTGGGTCCAGATTGATCCCCTTAATGGACTTTTTCCATCATGTCTGAGCCTCAGAACTTCATCAGTACAGCAGATAGACACATGACATGTAGGAGGAAGAACACATCTGGGTTCTGCTAGAACCTGACACCAGATCAGTTCTACATCCATCCAGGTGTCTCAGTCTGAACACTGGACCTGGTTCTGTTTTTTTTGTTTTTTTTCTAAAATTACTCAAAATTTGTCAGAAATTACTCAGAACATGCCTGAAATTCCTCAAAAAAAAAAATCATAAATGACATAAATGTGTCCAAACGGCCTCATAATCATTCTGAAAACAAGAAAAGAACCATGCAGGACCACCAGAACTATACAGGTCCAAAGAACCATAGGGAACAAGAAGAACTGTGCAGGATTGCAGGAATTAGACAAACCAAAAGGAGCAATAGAAAATATGAAGAAACAAAACACAGAAGGCTGTTAATGATCAGTCATTATGCTGGAATCCAGCTCCGAGCAGAACCGCAGTAAAACGCTCAGCGGGTCACCAGGAAGCTTCTGTCGGGCTTTATGGGCACGCTCAGTGGAGTTCATCATGTGTGGGATCATCAGCGTCTGAATCGAGCTCATTACAAACATCTGAGTTCTCAGGACTCAACTGTGACTCTGTTTCCACCTCGTTGTTTTAATTCAGCACCAACGGATCCTTCAAAGGGTCACTTTACTCAAACCACACAAAAACAAGACATGACTGACATGAAAGACCCGCTCAGAGCCCCCGGTACTATGGATCACAGAACCACAGGACCACAGAGACACCTGGACGGTTTAGAATGACTCGAACATGCTCAGAGATGATCCAAAATAACTTCAAACATAATTCAAAATGATTCAGATAGAGTCCAGATGACCGCAGCTCCAACCAGACTGACTCACGTCATACAAAATGCTCCCAACATGATCAAAAGTTACTGAGACAACGTCCAGAACGGGCCGACAAGGTGGCTCAGTGGTTCTCCGGCTTCCTCCCACAGTCCAGAAACATCTATCCATCATCTACACACCGCTGAAGCCTCACTAGGGTCATGGGGGGCGGAGTCTATCCCAGCTGACTCAGGGTGAAGGCAGGGGTCCCCCTGGACAGGTAACCAGTCTATCACAGGGCTACACTTAGAGACAGACAACCAAGCACACTCACATTCACACCTACGGACAATTTACAATCACCAATTAACCTCAGCATGTTTCTGGACGACCTGTCCAGGTGAACCTGCCTTCACCCTGAGTCAGCTGGGATAGGCTCCGCCCCCCGTGACCCGAGTGAGGGTTAAGGTGTAGAGATGATGGATGGATGGATGGATTATCCAAAAGGCCTGAAAAGTAATCTAAAAGGACTCACACATTATGAAAAACGAAATAAACAAGATCCAAAAAGACTCAAAACGAGGAAAGTTTTCCAAATGACTTGACTCCAGGATTGTTTTCCACGTCATCACAGAACCTGACGAGTTCTGGTTCAGTCCATGAAAGCTCTGAGTGAGTTTGATGAAGCGTCTCTCTCTGAACGTGAGCTCAGAGCTCCATCTGCTGGCAGAACACAAGCGCTGCTGTGGACACTCACTGTCCGACACACAACGGCCTGCAGGGGGCAGTAGCAGACAGAGCTGGTGTGATGGTAGCCTCTGCTGTCTGTCTCCTCATTGGTTGGTCCTCATTCGGCATCTTTATTATGGCAACTGAAACCAGCTCCCTGTGAAAGTACAGGTACTGCAGTACTACTACAAATACCGCAGTAACTGCTACTGCAGTAGTACTACGAATACTGCAGAAACTGCTACTGCAGTACTACTACGAATACCGCAGTAACTGTTAATGCAGTAGTACTACGAATACCGCAGTAACTGTTAATGCAGTAGGACTACGAATACCACAGTAACTGTTAATGCAGTAGGACTACGAATACCACAGTCAGAGAGCTGTTGCTGCAGTACTACGATGAAATGAAATGAAAAGAAAAATACTTTATTTATCCCATGAATATTGAATATAATAATATGAATAATCTAATATTATAATATTATATTATTATTATTATTATTATTATTATTATTATATAATATAATATAATCGAATAGAATATATAATATAATAGAATATGAATAATATGATATAATATGAATACTGCAGTAACTGTTCCTGATTGGCTGACTGGACTGACTGAGCAGTCGCTTCGTGTGTTCAGGGAGACAGAAAGCTTGATTGATGAATGAGCATCGATCAATATGTTCATTAGATTGTGATCAGTTATTACGAAACAGAGTCAAAACAGCGGTGATCAATAGAAACCGTTTCTGGAAGCTTCTCCTCAGAGGCAGACGGGTTACATGATGGAAACTCAGAGCTGCAGACACCTGATCTTTGCTCCGCCCACTGCTGCGCTTGAACAACAGGTGTCAGGTACCGGTGTGTTCAGGTGCTGTTGGAAACCAGACGGACTGATTCCAGTTGATTTCAGCAGCTCAGAGAATATTCAGAGAACTAAAACAGAACAATTAGGTGGACCTGGTTCGGGGTCTTCATCAGAGCTGAGACTTGTAGACTGAACTAGGCTGACAATGAACCTGATGGTCTGTCTGACTGCAGGTTAGATTTACAGGAGCACCTGAAGGCAGCACGGTCAGCCTGTGAACAAAGATCGTCTATTGAGAAGATGAGTCACTCTGTTCCAGCAGACGAGGAACAAAACACATTGAACACATTGAACAGTGAATACACCTTTGAAACTTTAGTTATATATCAAATGATTCTAACCTGTATCTCCTCACAGTAATCAGATTACACCTCCACAGCATGATGCTGCCACCCCCGTGCTCCACAGCTGGGATGGTGTTCTCAGGCTTCCAGCTTCCTCCTTTCTCCTCCAGATGTACCGATGGTCATGAAGGCCAAACAGTTCAGGTTTAGTTCCATCAGACCACAGGACATGTCTCCACTCATGAACTCACATGTTGTCAATTAACCAATCAGAAGCTTCCAAAGCCATGACATCATCATCTGGGCTTTCCCAGATAGTTTGAAGGCATCTTAGTGGATGGAAACTTCTGACTCTGAAAGAAGTCATAAAACATTCTCTCTCTCATTATTCTGGTGTTTAGCAAATAGAAATAATGTTGGTGATCCTGACTGAGCTGAAACAGGAAACGTTTGGTCTGACTTAATGTCAGACGGTGAGAAAAAAAAGGTTTTATATCTTTTAATACGGTGGATGTAAACTTTGGGCTGCCGTTGGCTCGGTGGTCAGCACCGTGGCCTCACAGCTAGAAGGTCGCCGGTT